GACTTGCGGGCCAGATGAAATCCGTCAACGGTGTCGGTACACCGTCTGAATACAAAAGTCAAACTTCGCCAGTATGGTATTATTATATATGTATGTATATACCTATATTCAAGTACGGGCGTTGGCGAAAATTGCGAAACAATATTGGCTAGGAGGGTCTATTATTTATGGCGAAAAAAAAAATGTATCGGTGTGTTAGCTGAGCAGGTTCGATATTATCATTCGTTAATTACAACCTAAAATAAAATAGTGAATTTTTTTTTTCATTTGTTCGATGAAGCGGTGAAATTCCAAAGATGACAACAGAATAACCCTTTTTTTTTATTATTTGTACACGCTGATACGAAAATAAGTGTGTTCGTGCACTTGGTTAATTTTCACATAACAATCTGCACGTTTTCCATTCGAATACACGAAACTGAGCTCAAGTGCGAACTATACGCGCAATAATATACTACTCAAAAAATGTAGCTGTGATGTTTGATTTTTTAGCTGCAATAAACAGTTCGGAAAGTATATTGGCTTTACACAATGGCGTGTTTACTTTTGACGCTGGTCGCAACAATATCCGAGCCGCTGCAACGATTTCTTTGTTCGGCATTCCCATACCGATCGAAAAATCATATGCAGTTGGCATTTCTAAGTATAACGATCAATAACAATTGAAAAAGTCCACCCCTCCTCACAAAACCGAGAAAGACACCCTGAATTTGTACACCATAAATCGTTAGTTTATTTTTTATTCTTCGCATCACATGTATATGTGTATCACATGTGCTATACATGTAACGCTGTACCTTATTTTCTAACATCGGTTCAATTTTTTTGGCAGACTTAACGTGATAATTGTTTTACGATCATAGTATGTCATGAATGTGTTAAAGATTTTGTGGATTGAAATATATCATATCCTTCGGTGTATAACTGATACTTTCATGATTATTTCCTTGATAAAAATTACCTATACTCGGTTATTATAATAATAATAAAATAATCTGACTCGTTGTAAGAGTTTATTTGGCTGTCACGGGCCGCCCGCCCACGAGCGGAGAGTAATTGCTTAAAGTGCCTACATTGATAATATTATTTCGCTATGGAAACAAACAGCCGTCGGTTATAGGGATCCGTTGTCCGTAATAATTACGGGTTGTTCGAGGTCTACCATATTAAAAAAACCCGAAGTCGGTTGTTACGACGTTCACGTGCTATATTATACAACCGTAACAGTTGAACAAAAACAGTAACCGACCAAAAAAAAAAAAAGCCAAGATTTTTTTACCCGGGTATTGTGTGCCGGGCGCCGCGCCGGGATAATATGGTTATTTTATTTACACGGGCCATGAATAAAAAAAACCCCAAGTGCCGTTGTCGTCGCGTTTTAAATATGCATGCGTTTTCATCTGTGTGTATTTATATTATGTTTATGATGGTGAAAAAGGCACAATTAACAGACGTGACGCAATAAGTCCCAAATCGGATTACCCGTAGCGACGCGCACATCGCCTAATAAAGCCGGCGGCGGCGGCGGGTTAACGGGTAAACGAGTGAAAGGTTTTAGGAATTTCACCGAAAAGTTGGGAATTCATGGTCATCGGGTTACCGACACGTTCACGGTGATATAATAATATTATCTGTGCGAACATTACCAATGTCAGACGTACACGTTGTCGGCTAATCTTATTTGCTTTACTGATATTCGTTACTGAAGCAAGTATAAGTACTGCAATCGTTTTACCGACGATTTTTAATTTAGGTATATATTCATCGTGTGCCAAAGAGGCGTTAGTAAATTGTTGTAATTAACAAATATGATAAAAACATTTGTTTAGATTTTGAAAAATTCCACCGAGATGCACAATTTATTGTATAGATTTTACCGTAACGGCCATGATCTCGCAGCAATAGCTGATGATGATATAGTATAGCTATACGATAAGATAAAAAAATTATAAAAGAGGTAGACGACTGACAAGTTGAATTACAAAAGGGTACAGTTCAGGATGATGTTATAAATTAAAAACTACGTATTATATCAACAAGACCACGACACCATGATGCTGGCACGACGAAAGTAATGGCACTAACAGCTATTGGACATTGACAAAGCGGAATGAAATTAAAAGAAACGAAAATGATTAAGGGAACTAGAATTACGATTAAGATATGAAGCGTGGTAAATGAATAGTGAATGATAAACAACGCAAAAAACATACGGATAGAAAATGTATTGTGTTTTTACCACAAAAATAGGTGTAACAAACTGGATAGTTAGTTTTTAATTTTAATAATTAGATATAAAAGCGAAAGCCTATTCGATAAAAACCTCAATCTCAAGTTAAACTTTGTACATTTGTAACAATCATTACATATAATTAATTAATTATAAAACGTTATAAAACATGTAGTACGAATAATGTAGCGATTTGCGGCTACACGAATTGTAATAATTGAAAAATGATTATATTTATGAAAAATTCAAATAATGTTTGTAATCATGACTTATGCGACCGACCACAATGGCTGAAATTAAATTTTCAAATTTTTATGAGTTTATCAATGCTTGCCTCTTTTGTCATCGATAACGTTATTTATGTGTATGTGTGTTAAGTACACTATTAAGACACATTCATGTTGTCGTGCATTTCTATAAATGGAAGTTCTAGCTAACATGCTGTAACGGTCATGTACTCACAACAAATTATTATCGTGTAGGAAGATATCAATTCTATCTAAACTGGTTTAATAAAATAAATACGCACTCGGTCGATGAGTTCACGTAATACTCTATTGACCTAGCTGTGTTTTTTTTTTACATAGCATTTGAAAAATACACTGCTTGCATAATTCGAATCGGTCTTTGGAAACCTAACTCGTGTCTACAAAATGAAATGTACGAGTATATATTATACCCATACCATTAAAATCCGTATGTTGTACAGTTTAAGATGGTGGCATTGAACATTTGTTTAACATTTTGTAACAATTGGCGACCGTCGTTCAATAAGTTATAATTTTTATATATTCTCTAAATGAAAAAATTTCGTAAAAATCATTTATTAATAATTGTATACTTCGAATTACATAGTTTTTTAATACACAACAGTGTCGTATACGGATGCATTAATAAATTATAGCACATGTCATGTCAAAACAGAAAAGACATGATAGACACATTTAGCGGTTGACAGCACTACTATATTTTATGAATTAAATTTAACACGGCCTCAGAGCCACCGTTTTGAGACAATTAATAATATCGAAAAAACTTAAGCACTTGTGGTTATATTATGTAATAAAATAATAATAAAAACCCTTAACCATAAAAATGATATACTCTCTCTCTTTCTTTTTATTAAAACACAAGTAGATATTTTTTAAACTAAAAATACACCCACGCTTGCCATACAATGTATTATTATAAGCTGTAACGCTTATAACAATACCAGTGTCATATTATACCCTTAACATAAACCGTTAGACAAGTTTAAAAGTTTAACGAGATAACCAAAAAAGTGATTAACAATGATAAGTTAAAACGGTAAGTATCAAAACTATTCAACATTTACTTGCCTTGTTTAATACACATTTAGATCAAAATTGAATTTCTGATGAGAAAACTCAGTGTTTTTAAACCATTTGTTTTAAAATTAGAAGGCTAATATTATTTCTTGTAAACAGTAAAGCGGAAGTCCCGGACCTTGTACATACATTTAACACAAATTAGTATTTTTTATAATTTATCCAATTAGTAACCGTATTAAAGACTAAATACTGTTGTAAGACTTGAAAAAGTGTCTTGGCGTAGATCGTACTTGTAAAATGAGAATCATAAAACATTACATGACAACAAAGTTTTAAAACAAAATAATAAACTAATTAATTTTTTTACCAAAAGTCACGGGAATCCGAAGGAGCTGCCAAAGTTAATTATATCTGCATTTCCAAAAGCATGACTTTTACAAACTAAAATAAAACGTATACAATATAGTATTATGTAATATATTCTTTTTAATCATTTTTTAGTATCTACCTTTATATTTTCAATTTCATTTTTCCAAGAAAACGAAGTGAGCATTAATAAACTTTTGGGGATTTTTTTCAACCCTCGGCGTAATAATATAGTCATTTTATTTTTAGTTGGTTATTCAATTGGCTAACAAAAAAAGTAGTTTGAACGCTAACCGAGGTGTTAACAAAACTAATGATTCTTTATTACACTACAAGTATTTAATATATGTACATCTACGTTAACGTTAAGATAATCTGCGCACTAGATGGGGAACAGTCCCAATTTTTGTTGTTGAACCGGTCACGTTTGAAAAATTAAATTACCTACGTTCGTTTTTATTTGTGTAAACAATGTGTTAGTCTTTACGACAAGCGTAGAAAGTAATCGGAAAATATGTAAACAAATATTGAGTTATACGCTCTGTTGATTAAATAAAATCGACACAATAGTGAAAAATATATTGAGGTTTAAAAAAAAAAATGAAAATATTCCCGATATATTAAACATTTTATAATGCCTCAGTTATTATAACTAATATTATTAATCAATATCAATGCCTTACTGAATGAGAGTTTGGTAAATTATTATTTTTTTAGGTCAAAAACAAATATTATGAAATATTTAAACGAATGTGTTATGATAGTTTTTTTATCATTAAGAAAACTAATCATATGATAGGCAAGTAGTTAAGTGCTTACATAATATTATAGTTATTAAACAGTAAACCCAATTATTCATAAAATCATTAATGTTTGGTATAACCCTAATATAATATGTCTAACCTTAACATACTACTTTTATTCCCAAAAAATTAATAAAACTTATGTTTTGATATCCATTTCCCTGGTATTTTTTTTTTTTTTTTAAGGCTTTATTATTAGTGTTCAAGCTCTTTAGCCTATCAAACTGCAAAATATCTTAAAATGTGATAATATATAAAAACAATTTGATTTTGCGTATGCATTAAAACAAATATTCATGCTATTCGCAGGCGTTCCTTCGACATTGAACTACATACCATTAGACGTGAGCTCGACCCCGTCGCCAAAATTGACCCCTTACCCGAATTGGGCGTATAACAGGGAAGGCAATTGTGACGGATTGACGACCACCTACAGAGTAAAAGCCGACACGTGCAACAGGCTATGGGTTTTGGATTCAGGAACCGTCGGAATCGGTAAGTTTAGTTTATATTTTTCATTAGAGATATATCACAACAACATTCACATAAAAGTTTTTTTTTTATCCTCTATATTTGAACTACAAGTTTTAATACTGTTTGGAATATTTAAAACATCAAATCGTATTTATGAGTTATTATCTAAAAATTAATTAATCCGTATAAAGGTTCTGAATATTACGACGTATGTGCACAATGTGTTTAGTTTATGCGGGTTAAGTATTAGTTTGCGAGGTTTTGAGTAAATGAAAATATTTACTGTGTATAAATCCTACGCACCACTTGGTAGTGTTTTTGCACGTGCACTCACGCGTTACTCTTATTTGAGTTTTATCTGTTGGTTCATTTATATACTCAAGTTCTATAACATAAATAAATTTAAAACGTTCGTTTCGTAAATATTTTTTTTATTTTTTATGAAATAGTATGAATATAATATAGTAACCATTATAGACAAACAAGGGACAAATTAGTACTCCACTGGATGTATCCAACCTATACACAACCAAAAATCTTACCAACAAAGCCAATGTTCATAGTAGCCAAGGTTAAATTAAAAAAGAAAAATGGCAATAACCATTTTTATCAAATTGTCTCGAATTGTGATTTGTAGTAATTTAATATTGCTTTTAAACCCCACGCGTTAGTTAAATATTTGATTATAATCTGAAAGTGAATGAATACTGTTTGTTGTCATATTATGATGAAGCCTAATAAGTAAAATTATTTTAATTTGCTCCGCCCTAAGAAAAAGAAAAACTTCTTTTACCTATCTTAAAAAACCAATCATAGCTCAACTAAATAGGTGATTTTCCGTACGAATACTACGATATTATCACATTATATTTTAAACAGCTAAAAAAGTACACGAATTAAAATCTTTTTGGTGAATATTTGAAACCTTTATAGCCAAAAAAAAAAAAACAATTGTGTCGATCGATATCATTGCTTTTGATGAATTATTAAATGTCTCCGCCGTTAACCCTGACTGATTTAAGGATACGAGTTTGTTTTTTATCAACGAATTCTATTCCCATCAGACTTGGTTGGAATTTTTCTCTTACTCGATTATTTTCTTTTGCGTTTTCGTTTTTTTTTTTTAACGGTTAGCAATTTTTCGGGCTAAGACTTGGGGGAAGCAACCGAGGTCGGTCGGATAGAGATCGTGTGAATTTGTCTGTTTCCGAATCGCACAGTCGACCGCAGCGCGCTCTTCTATGCGTTGAATCTCGGCGCTCACAGTCGTTTGTCAATCCGAGGGGCCCAAGTCGGTGGGCGAATGTAAGACAGTAAAGTTTTCTTCACACCCCCGACCAACCCTGCCGTTCGGGTGAACTCCACACCATTCGCGGTATACACTATAACTCTATTTTCACATAATATATATATATATATATATACAGTGTGCGCCCTCGCCTAGAGTAAGGTGTAAAATCCAAAACGACGACGATTTTCGTTGGACGACTGCGGACTGGTCGCAAAACAGCAGCCAACTAGCTCACCCTCTTTTACCGCTTTGGAAATTGATGGTCGTTAATTAATCAAAGAGCACATCGGCGTCGGTTTACTCCTTTGTGACTATATATATATATATATATATATATGTGTGTGTGTGTGTATGCGGTTTTACACGGCGACCGCCGCACTGAATGTATAGATCGACTGATGAAAGTGAAAAAGACCGAAAAGGCGTTGAAGAGACGAAAAAAGAACTAAAGGAATAATGAGTTAGGAAACGAAAGTTTCTCGACCCTAGCGAATTTAATTTCCATTGAAAGTTCGATATTGTTTTTAGTAGGTGGATTATATCGGACCATTTGTTTATCATTTGTTTGTTTCTTAAGTACATAACGACAACCCGCGCTCATTATTCCTATTATTCATTTTGAAAAATATAGGAAATTTTTTTTTCATTTTTTAAAACTGAAAAATTAAGAAGATAACATGTTTGTTTAGACGTCTACATATATTTAAAGTTAAAAAATATTTTCCTTTGACTTCCATAAAAAACGTTTCTTGATTATTTGAGAAAGTATTCCGATCGTAGGCAAACGATTCTGTCTATTTTGTTTTTTTATTTTTAGCTTAAAAACTAGTGTTATTTGCTTATATAAGTTTATTAGTTTTACATTTACTTGATTATTTTCATGATGTTGCACAAGAAATAATTGCATATTGTTACAAGCAAATACCATACGAGTTCAGTCTTTTGATTTGATATTTCATTATATGTGCACTTGTATGTGTTAATTTATATTGCATACAACACAGTATGATTGTATATTATAAATTATGTAAAACTAATAATGTATTTTCCTTTAGGCAACACTACTAAGCAAGTATGTCCGTACGCCATCCACGTATTTGACTTGACCACGGATAAAGTTCTGAGGAAGTACACTCTACGACCGGAAGACACCAACGACCGTACGTTCATCGCGAACATTGCCATCGATATCGGATCTAAAGGATGTGAAGACACGTTCTTGTACGCGTCCGATGAACTCGGCTATGGGCTGATCTCCTACAGTTGGGAGTTGAACACTTCTTGGAGACACACCCACAGCTTTTTAATGCCCGACCCATTAGCCGGCGATTTTAACATCGGAGGTACGTACACAAGGGTCGACCGACAACTTTTTGAAATGGAGAAAAAAAATGCATTCAATAAAATGTGTTTCATTCGTCGTATATTATAGGTTTGAATTTCCAATGGGGCGAGGAAGGCGTTTTCGGTATCACGGTATCGCCGTTCCTCGAAGACGGTTTCCGTTTGTTGTTCTTCCATCCGTTGGCCAGCAACCGAGAGTTTGCCGTCTCCACTAAATTCTTGCGGGACCCCAAGATCACATCCGAAGAAATCTACCACGACTTTGTTGTCTTGGAATCCCGGGGACCCGGAGGTCACATCACAGCCCACTACATGAACGACGACGGAATCCTGTTCTTCAACCTGATCGACCGGAACGCTGTGGGCTGTTGGAACTCCAAAGTACCGTACGAACCCAAGTCGTTGGACATCATTGACTGGGACGACACCGCGTTGATCTTCCCGAGCGACGTCAAAGTAGACTCTCTCAGTAATTTGTGGGTCATGTCCGACAGGATGCCCAACCATTTGATAGACAAACTCGATTTTACCGACATTAACTTTAGAATTTTCTACGCTCCCCTGGACAAGGCGTTGGCGGGCACCGTTTGTGCCAACAGTATCCCGTACGCTCCATACTTGTCCAACCAAATTGCTCCGAAACCCTACTAGACCCGTTTCAAAATCAATAAACTATTTGTACACATTCGCCGAGTGCACTCTATCCAACCGTTACACGCGTTTCATTTATCGCACTTAAATTTTTTTTAAAAAATCATGTACATCGTGTTGACGTGTATCTGATACTATCAGATTACTATATAAAATCGAACACATTCTACAGTTTGAATGCGTTCGGTTTACCCACATGCAATTCGACACAACCAATTAAACTTGATTTGTCTCGATCGCTTGTTGAGTTTCATTAAATTATTGTAATTTTCATCACTTATTGTTTATTGATACATAATCATCGTTTCTGTACTCATAGTTTGTGTATTATGTACATTATGTAGTTTATAAATGATTGTATAATAACTTATATTTTAGTAGCTATTATTATGTAAAATTGTAATCATCCAGTGTAAATTATTACTTAAATTCAATCACTTTAATGAAAGAGAAAACAATTTATAATGTATATTTTTCAAGTTCTTACGTTGTCACTTTTTAATTTATAACAAAATATTTTCGTGTATTTGATATCATCAATCATTAAACACAATACACGCATGTGCCAACGATTTCTACATTATTCTCTTAAGTGCGTAAAAAATGCAAAAACTATTATATTTTGTTATTATTTAAATTGATTATTAAATAAGCGACGAATTGAAAAATTATTGAAAATTATTAGCGGATAAGTTTACACGAAAACGTACATCAACTCTAAGGTTAGACCTTCAATTATTACTTATTTTTAAAATTCTAGAAATTAATTTTAAATTAAAACTTATTACAACAATTCAATCTAGTGGGCAAAAAGAAAAACAACTATTGCTAAGAACAACAGCTGTTCAAGTGCGAACCGTCGACGAGCGAAATATGTGTTTTTTTGCAGTTTTAGTTTAAAAGAGTGCTATTGCCTATTACTATGTTATTATAAACAGCCATGTGAAAACATATAAAACATCTTAACCTTTTAACGCGAACCTACTGCTAATATCGGTAGATTTACAGTCTGCTATACTTTCTGCTATAGCAAATATAGTTGGTTTTCTATTAAAAACTTATCCTGGTTATAACCGCTTGGGCTGTAAAAGCGCACTCGTCCGTTGTTTAACCGGAGCACAGTTTATAAGTGTAAAACGGAATGTTTCAGCTATGTGTGCATGGACGATTATGTGTTGGTTGACGTTATGAATACTACGTTTCTTCGGTTGTTGAGCAAAGCAATTTTGCCGGTACCAATTTTACACGCGGTAGCGTACGGCCGTAGATACGACATGGCATGACCCATATAGTATGTGTATGTATAGTGGCAATAGTCACAGATAAAATGTAGCCACGACACGGAGAACTAAACGCATATGTATTCGCATTCCCCTGTTATTAAGTTCAAGTTTTGTGTGTGCACAGCACGGCCATAATAGAGATTGCTTTTGGAAATTATTTGTCCCTCACTTAACGAAGCATCGTAGTAAAGTGCAACATCAGGAACACTGCGAATCTACTACTGTACAGCTTGGACTAAAGCAACAATGTTGCTGCAACCTATTATATAAATTATTTGTACACCTCAAAACGTTTAGCAACCGTTTGAAAACGCGTCAAACGTTTTCCATTCATGTATATTGTAGCAAGAATAAAAAAACAACAAAATCAATAACGATCACAGCTCAATTACGGGGTAAAAAACTTTTGTTTTGAAATCAGAATAGACAAGAATTAAATTGAATATTAAAAATAAACCACTTCTTTAAAAGGTATTCTTAAGCTAATAATTTTGGTGCTTGAAAAATTTGGCTTAGTAATATTGATTAGTCGAATGACTGTTAGTATTGTTAATGTAATTTATGATAAGCTTTGTACATTATTATACATTTGTTATCGACAAGACAACAACCTCATATTTAACAATAGTAGTTGCCGGACAGCAATTTTGAATAATATATACGTTTCTGTTACTTAATAAAATCAAACAATTTGCCAACAAACACTTAAGATTTAAATTATCTAAAAGAATTTTGAAAAATTAAAATTTTAAGGTATTTTCCGTATAAAAAAAAAATTTGTTTTGATTAAAATTAATTTTTTTTAACCATAAATTGTAATGGATTTCTTTGAAACCAGAAGCAACAAATGATTGTTGGTTAAACGACTGTCGATTACTAATCTAATAACATTATTTAACAGATAACAGACAGTTTTGGTTGTAACAGAAACTTTAAACTCTAGTCAAATATTTATTGCACTATCTATTATCTTGATATATTTGACTATTATTTTTTAGTAGGTTAAAATCGTATTTATGTTTAAGGTTTAAAAATGAAATACTCAAGCCAATAGAAAATTATGTATTTATTTATGAACTTATTATGTATTAATTTATTATGACATTGTTATTTTCTGGTACTCCGTTGCATGAGGGGTCTCCCGTGTGGAGAGCGAAACGTCCCACGGCAAAATTTTGAATAAATACAGCTAGTACTATAGCTGTTCTCCCTTCCTAGTTTAAATACTAGTTAAGCTTATATTCATTATATCTTTACGGACAAAATGAACTTGTTAAAAAACGTAGCCAGTACATTCTATGCTTAAGGCATGTAAACATACGGTACGCCTACTCATATTGTACTGTCTGTGATATAGGTCACAGCAGTTATGGAAAGTCTTGTATTTCATCGTAATGATCGGCTATTAATAATTACAAATAAGTTTCTTACTTTAATTATAAAAGCATTTATCGTTGAATCAGCTTAATAGAAAATAAATACAAATATTTCGAAAATTGTTGCCTTGCAACAACTAATATTAAGTAACATGGCAAATCGTGATTCGTCGATATAATATGATATAACATTAGTGTAATACTATAAAAACACCATTAAAACAAGATTGTGAGTTCATAAAAACGTTATAAAAATTAATTTATCTTAATGTACATTTTTTTTTTTTTTTTTTATTAAAAATAAAAATACAATCTGTATAAAGTATACAATAAGTATTTACGATAAAAATATATACATATAACAGTGAATAACCTGTGGAGAGTCCGTCCAATGGCGGAACTCCTACTGACATTAGTAACTTAAATTACAACGTTTATATTACATTTTTTTTTTTTATTTATTTATTTATTGTTGAAGAAGGTCTCTACACCAGGATCTTTTTAGGCGGCGAGGAGGGTTATCTGGGATTGTGAGTGAAGACAGGGTTTTAATAAGAGGGTTAGGATGATTTTGGAGACGGTTGTGAAAGTGTTTATATCTAGAGATAGCAGTTTGTTTTACAGTAGGAGGGTGGGGCGTTGAGGGTTCGGCGAAGGCACTTGGATTGAAGAACTTGAATTTTGTTAACATTTGATTTTAATGTACATTTAAACACACTCTTAGGATACATTTTTAAGTAACCAATTGCATAATGTACTTTATAATATTATGATAAGTAAAAATCTAGTATGCTTTCACACATCAAATTGCTTTCTCAAAGTGTGCGATAACTTTCTAAATATTATAAATCTAAATATTATTTGCTTCCTATACTGAGTTCCATATAAAATGTATGGTTTCTGATGTATTTTTGAACATTAATGAAAGTTATCTTTTTTTTTAATGAAATGTTTCAATTTCCATGAAACAAAACTGTTAAGGTATACCTATACTAACAACAAAATGGAATACACAAACCTAAGTAGATAATATATAAAGTTCTATTAATGGATGGTTTCTTCTATCAAGACCGCTGCCCTCCTAAAAACTAGCATCACACTTGCACTTATTGTAAAAATAATGATTTACAAATATATTTTTCGGACCATTTCGCAAACTGTATTTAAACACATGCACATTGTCGTTTACACTTCTAGAGGGTGTTTAAGGTCCTGTATAAGGGAAGGGGACAAGTGCTCTAAATGACATAAATTAAGGAAGTGTCGATTTTATAATAAGAACGACAACGGATGGAAATTTAAATGCCTGGAGGCGCAGCAAAAAGCAGTTGCCTTGGGATACTAACGTTATTATACAACGGTTAGCACGGCACTGAGAGTATCTCTGAAGTGTATGTCACGACAACATTATTCACACACTGTAGGGTCTTAAAATTGAAAATCTGTTTTCCATTTCTTATTATCGATCATTGAATAATTGTCAATAATGGAAAAATCTCTATTTCGTAGCGATTGTTGTGGTTACATTATTTTTATTTGCTCATTCATTTCAGAGATTAATTTTATATAACTTACATAATAGAGACACAAGAAAAAACATTATTCAAAATTATGCTAATTATTTCTTAGATCTGCAAAAAAATCTCAAAGAATGTTATTAAAATGTAGTTAGATGTGAGGTCTAGTATGGTGTTAAGTTAAATAATAAACGTACAAAAGTTAAACCAAAGCTGAAAAATATTTTTATACTAAGAAACTATTTGTCTTATTTTTTTGGTTTTACGATTAATGAAGATACCAGCTTGAATATGAATTTAAATGTATAATTGCTTATTATATCTGTAGAGCAATTTTTGTTAAAATAATCATTCTTACTGCTGCGATTGTTTTTAATATATAGTATCATTAAAATTAAATTTATGAGTAAAACAACTTGTTTTAGTAAAACATGGAGGATTTAAATTGTAAATCACAAAACCAGATAGTAGTTACGGTGTTTGTTGTTTCGATATTACATTTAAGTCAACAAGAATCCCTACAGCAAAAAAAAAATTATTTTTAGTTTTTATCTAAAAACATAATAATAACAGACCCATCAAAGTACTTCCACTCTGACTTAAAACGATGCCTGATATGAAATAATTATCCATAATGAATACTCCCTTGAAACGTTTTTGGCGGTGTACAAGATATTTTTTTAAAAAAAGATATAGTGTAACTACACTAATGACTTAAAGTCACTAATTTACATTACGCCCCATTCTTAACTGAATATTTTATTAATGCATTTTTTTAAGTGTTGTAAGAACGTTTTTGAGTTGATTAAAAACTTAATCATATTATCTTTGTATGTAATTATAACAGTTTTTTTTTCAAAATTCCATATACGTAACGCAACGAAATTCGAGTTTTAAAAAATACAGCGAAACATGAGACAAAAAGATAATATATCTAATGACTAAAAGCTGTTAGCCTATCATATTATAACAATCAGTTATAATTTAATAAAATCGCGTAATATATCAAACAAATTGTATTACACTGTTCCGTGTACATAATATACATATAACAAATACCTATAGAAAATATAATAAATAATATCATAAAATATTTATTTTTGAAGACTATATTAGTTTAAGTGACACGAGTAGACATGATTTGATACCAAATAACTATTTTTAAGGTTATTTCGAGAAATAAATGTTAAGACTGCGATGGAAAACCACTGGAATAGTGATTAGAAAAGATATTCATTAAAAGGTTTTTTTGTACTCGGTTTGAATAACTTATGATCGAAGTAAAATAAGGATAACGAGAATCTAGAGAAGAGACGAATAAAATAAAACTGGTTGAAAATTAAAATGCATAGACATGCGCTGAAATGCAGAAAAAAATGCAGAAA